CCCCAGCTGCCTGTGGAGGTGGAGGGGTCCCCAACCCTTTCCGTGAAAGGGACCATGAGGAGTGGAAATCAGGATGTTCCCCTACACCTACCCATGGGTAAAAGTAAAAGGCCAGGGGGAGCCAAGATCCTGGGTCCTTCCCCTAATATCTTGGGAGGGAGAAAGGGTGAAGCAGGAGCAGGCTAAGGGGGCTGGGGAGGGGCTTTGTAATTTATTGCTTTGTTCCCCAACATGGGAGTGGGGTGGGCATGGGCGTGGGGAGGGCGTTCTGGGGTAGGGGGAGCCAAGGGTGGGCAGGGGGTGGGGTGGGGTGGGGGTGCTCTCGGGTTGTGTCTGTGCCTGTGACTGCGTACCTGTGACTGTGCAGCGCCCGTGGTGATCTGGGGTAGGGGGCACCCCTGAAATGGGACCCCTCCCCCATTATTTCTTTCTGTCCAGCCCCTCCCTCCCACTGGAGCAGCTCCAGACCTGTCCCTCACCCCAGTGCTCTCTCCCAGCCAGGGCTGAGAGGATGTGCAGTGGTTGCGTTTCCAGGCCCTCTGCCCCATCCCCAGAATGGGAGTGGTGGGGTGAACTTAACCTGTCTGAGCCCTGCCTCCCTCAATCAACCCAGTCCTTGGGCTGTCTGTGTCAGTGGTTTCCGGTCTTTTTTTTTTTTTTTTTCTGGCTAAAATAATTTGCAAAAGACCAGGTAATTGGGGAGGGAGCGGGGGTGGGGGAGCAGGGGATGCCCCCCTCATCTCCTCTGAGGCAGGTGGTGTGAAACTTCAACAGCAATTAAAGAGGAAGTGATTTTGTCTAGGGGGTGAGCTGCTGGTCTGTTCTTGAAGAGACAAGTCAGGGTACAGCCTTGGTGAAGGCCCAGAACTGGAGGTGGGAAAGGGCCAGGCAGAAGTCCCTCCCACTGACCTGAAGCAGGGAAGTACCAATGGGCATGGAGGTGGTTCCCTCTTGTACAACAGCCCTGGGTTCATGCAGTGGAAAGAGATGGGCAGGTGGGAGGAACTGTGGGGAACTTGGAAGCAAAGAAGTCACATTTAGAAGATGATACCAGTTCTAGAAGAGTTGGAGTGTGGTGCTTGGAGGAACAGATAAGGCTGTGGTAGGTGGTGGGTGTGTGGTGAAATGACATGGTCACCCTGGTTAAGAGTAGGAACAGATCTGATTTTGAAACCTGACCCTCCATTCCCTAGCTAGGGGACCTGAGGCAGTTGACCATGGAGGCATCTATTTATTTGTGATCTGAGCAATCCATTCAGAAGACACCTGGTAAGTGCTCTAGCCCTGGAGGGCTGCCCTATGCCAGCCTACTCACCTTGAGTACCAAGTACTAGAGTAGAACTAATAATAGGGATCCTTCTCCTGGCCCTAGTCAGGGGGTGCTAGGGAGAGCAGGGGTGAAAGATCTGGGAATGATTTCCCAGCCAGTTGTAGGTCCCTGATGTTCATAAACTCCATACTAGCTGATGCATTTGCCCCCTGCCACCCTTATCACAGTTGCTGGAGCTGCTGTACTGCCTCAGTAGCCAGTTCCACCGTTTCCTGTATATAGCTGAAAGCATCTGCCCTGATGGAGAGGCTGGGCAGGGTGGTGCTGTAGGCCACTAACTGGTGCAGGTTGGACACAGATACCACATGTTGCATTCCATCACATGTTGGTGGCACCAGTATCTTTGAGTAGGGTAGTTCCAACTTATGGTGCCTCTCAGCCCTCAGACACTCAGCTATTGATGTTCCAGCAAGTTGATGAAGTATAATTGCAATGCCAGGCCCAGGTCCAACTCACATGCTGCCTTCTGCTGTGTAGCATGGATGATTACCAAGGACCACAGAGAGGTAGATTCAGTGATGCAGGGACAGGTACAGATATGTGGTCTGGGTGAAGTGAGAGGATGATAGTCCTCCTAGACGACCTGGTCATTTTTTGTCCCTTAGCTCAGACCCGAACTCCCTTACTTCATCTTCACCTTCCTTCATCATGGCTAAAGCTCACTCACTTCCTAAAAAACTCTGAGTTTGGGTACAGGGAGGAAGCAAGAACCCCAAGAGAATAAAGCTACCTGCAAAGGGAACCACAGGCCAAAGGGAAGGTCCTTTTATTTCTAGACAGCAAAAATGGTTGAGGTGTTGGCAAACTGCACAGCAGATCCCACCAACAAATAATCCACCTGATCCTCTTTTTTTTTTTTTAATGTCCTGCATTTTTGGTCTTGAGGAGAGATAGATGGAGGTGACAAAAAAATTAAACCTTATAGGTTATGGCATAATAAGACTCTAGAAGGGGACTCCCTAGGTGGGTGAAGGAGAGTTGCTGCTGTCCCTTTATGTCTGAGTGCCTCACAGCTCACCATGAGTTTCCTTGCTTGGGTTCCTGTTGCCATCCCTCAACCCACTCCTCATCCTCTCCAAGAAGCCATCTGACACACACCCTGTTCCCTTCCTTCTGTTTGCCTTAGCACAGCTGGGGCAGACTGACTTCCATGGGAGTTTTGCCAAAAGCCAAAGGAAGTAAAAAGGAATTTATTATTGAAAGTACAAAATGGTTAAATACAGTGATGTTTCCAGAATTCAGTTTTATGATCTTGCTGGGACTCCATCCCCATCAAACCAAAGATAACCTCCTGTCCCAGCATCTCACCCTTCCCATTCTTAAAGATTCTACTGTAGCATTTGATCAACTTTTGGAATTCCTTTTAAGACTCTCATCTACAAATACTCTAGTATCTTGTGAACTTGGAAGCTGTTTTATAAGTTGGTGTGTACTTACTATGGACAGATCCTGTGTGAAGGGCATGAACAGTAGGGCCAGAGATACTTCTAGCCACAGTGTACCAATGAGGAAACACAATTTGAAAAATGAAATGATGCACACGTCTAATCCCAGCGGCTCAGGAGGCCAACACAGGAGAATGGCAAGTTCAAAGCCAACCTCCCTCAGCAGTTTAGCAAGACCCTAAACAACTTAGTGAGACCCTGTCTCAAAATAAAAAATAAAAAGGAGGCTTGTAGCTCAATGGTAGAGTGCTTGCCTAGCATATGTGAGGCACTGGGTTTGATCCTCAACACCACATAAAAATAAACAAAATAAAGGTATTGTGCCCATCTACAAGTAAAAAAAAATTAAATATAAAATAAAAATGGCTGGAAGTGTGGCTCAGTGTTAAAACACCTCTGGGTTCAATCCTCTGTATAAAAAAAATGGTGAAATGACGTGTTCAAGGCCCACTTACGGAGATAGAAGAGTAATGATTTGAACATAGTGCTCTGTCTATAAGCCATTCCCAAGGCAGTTTCTTTTTTGTTGAGATAGTTCTAGCTACATTGCAGAGGCTGGCCTTTAACTCATGATCCTTCTGCCTCAGCATCCTAAGTAACTGGAATTAAAGGTGTAAGCCATTAGGCCTGGCTCCAAAGGACAGTTTCTAAATTCTTGCCCAGCTGAAGCACCCCTCTCAAGATACACACATGAATCTCAGGAGGCAGGATTTATAAATCTACCCACTTACATTTAAAAACAAAACAATTTAAGCATAACACACACAATAACCACTAGTCCATATTTAGTAGGAAGAAGGTAAATCTTATGAAACTTCCTTCAACAACTGAATCCCTCACCTCTCACTTTTGAAGACATTCTGTGTCTTCTGTCCCTTTCCTTATCTTATAAGCCAGTGGAGACTTCAGCAGGAAGGCTGTACACCTCTGAGCTGTGGAGCAAGAGGAGAGCCTCTGCCCTTGGAGAAGGAAGAAGGAATGTGGGGGGATCCACACCTACACTTGGCAGGCCCACCTACCCTTGGCATATTAAGAAGCACGCATGCATGAGTGTCAGCTCTCTCTGGAAAAAAAGGTTGATGTTTTTTGGTTTCAACAACAAAAAACTGCCTTGGGGGCTGGGGAGATAGCTCAGTGGTAAAGCACCTGCCTAGCAAGCATGAGGCCCTGAGTTCAATCCCCATCACCACATAAAAAATAAACAAAAATAAAAAATGATATTTTAAAAAATCTGCCTTGGAAATGGCTTATAGTCAGAGCATTAAGTTCAAGTCTTCACTTTTCTATCTCCTAAAGTGGGCCTTGAACAAGTCATTTCACTATCCCCCCGCCCCCCAATAGCCATGAGGAATATGGGGTGTGGCTGGCAAATGGAACCTGGAATACGCTGCAAGGAAAGAGCTCAGCAGAAGGAAGATGTCCAGGTCTGGGGTCAGGGGTACAACTCCACAGTGTGTATATGGTACATGATGTCAAGGGGGAGAAGTTAAGGAAGGAGTTGGTGCTAAGGAAGGGAGGGAAGTGAGCTGGAGGTACAGTTTAGTGGTAGCATGTGCAAGGCTCTGGATTAAAGGCCCAGCAAGGCGGAAGTTTAAAAAAATAAAAAGGGAAGAAACAACAGATGAAGATATATAGAGAGAACAGTATTATAGGTCTTTAGCTCCCTGCCAGGTGGCTTTGTCATGGTCTGTGTGTATAGGCTCACTGATACCACCTGGGATGTGTGCCCTCTGGTCTGAAAAGAACAGCAAGCCTCCTCCCTATGAGAGCACCCTCCACCTACCCCCTCCCATCCCCCAAAAAGGCTGATGGACTGATGGTCCAGTTCTTTATTTAGAAACCTGATTGTTGAAGAACACGG